TTTTCAGGCACGATATTGTATGTACGGTTCATTTGAAGCTGGTGCAACCAGACGAGCCGATATCACTTGCTTCATATGCAGTGGGAAAGCGAAGCTAAACGAACTGAAAGTAAAGCATACCTCTGTGGGGGTGATGGTGTCGAAATATCGGCGGAAGAAGCCGAACGTCTCCCGTGGTCGCTGGGTGCATCTCCCGTCGAAGCGACTCGAGAACGGGACAGCCGGAGGAGGCTCCGCGACTGGTACGGGTGCAAGCCTAGGAAAGTAGGCGTAAACCCACAACTGCAAAACAGATGTCAGTATGACCATCAGATAAAGCAGGATATACAGAATAAAGCAGAAATGGCAGAGCCGTGTGTTGTGCAGTGTATTGTTTGCAGTGTACAGTGTGAGCAGTGTACAGTCTGTGTAAAGCAGAATGTATGTGTGTGCCGTGTGTACAGTATACAGTCAGTGTAAAGCAGACCGCAGTGTGTGCAGTGTACAGGGTACAGAAAGTACGAGACAGAAGTGAAAAAGCGGAGAAGAAATGTACCTCCCAAGCCCGCCAGTAACCTCCGAGCAGCTTCCCACGCATCCAAGAAGTGGAGCTCATGTATCCATAAGGAGTGGTGAGGCCGGCCGCGCCCCAGTCGTAGAAACGGACTTGCTGGAGTACCACCAGAGCGCCCAAGAAGTATAAACCCACAGTATTCCACCTATTCGAAAATAAGGTGGTATCGAAAAGGAACAAGAGGAAGGCCCTGGCGTACTGCTCTGCCTCCTCATCAGTATCGGGATCCTCCCCACTGTAGTGCTCCTCGAGGGACCAATTACAGCAAAAGTGGGCCTCCCCCAGTAGATGGACCTGAGCGGCGGTCCACTCATCCATGTCTGTGTCGAAAGGGATCGGATCCCCCCCTACCCCGATGCCTGTAATCATCGAGAAGTCATAAGGGGTCATCGTCATGTCCCTTGTAGCAGAAAAATGGAAAGAATCGGTGGTGTCCCACCACCTCTCCGCCAGAGCGGCAAGAAGAGGTCTGCATGTGGAGAGCCTAGAGAGCCCTCGGCAGAAGGTGCCGAAGCCCGCTCGGTCCACGATGCGCTGGACCGCATCAGGGAGCTCATCATACCACTCCCATGCACCAGTATTCCCATACCTGCGAATGGTATGGGAACCCTCCTGCAAACAGAAAATGACAATTGCAAGACAACATTCAAAATGCAGTTTTGAAAAGACGTTTGAGGCCAGTGTCAGAAGGATATACCGGTATGCTGTAGACGGCTAGAAGGTCAAATGTCCGCTGGAGCATCCCCATCATCGAGGCATTCATCGCCAACGACTGACGGGTGTACTCAGAAGAA